AGTATTAGTACAAAAAAGGAAGCAACTTAAACAACTTACATTGAAAGAAATCTATAATAATAAAAGCAAGTGTAATGTCTGTCTGTCTGTCTGACCGAGCTCTCCAGCCAAATCTATCGCACGCAGGGACCTGGAATTTTTTATACGGAAGCACAAAGGGGCTGGCCACCAGACCTCGAAGCCTGATTTTCGATTTTTGAATTAGAAAAATTTAAAAAAAATTATTTATAATTAATTAATCACGGTTTTTTGACTCACTGATATTATTATTTGTTTTCAAATAACGTTCGATTGTAATAATTGATTTCTTTATTCTAGCGTTAGTTTGCTGTTCTGACGATACATTAAATCGATTAATTACAATTCATTTCTTTTTTGTAGCTTATTATTTATAATTAATTAATCACGGTTTTTTTGACTCACTGATATTATTATTTGTTTTCAAATAACGTTCGATTGTAACAATTGATTTCTTTATTCTAGCGTTAGTTTGCTGTTTTGACGATACATTAAATCGATTAATTACAATTCATTTCTTTTTTGTAGCTTGTGGGGGGGGAAGAGAGAGAGACAGTCTACATGTCCTACACTACTATTCCTGCGCTATTCACTTATCTGCATTTTCTAAATGCACGGGCAACGCCGGGCGGGTACAGCTAAGTGTTTAATAAAGTAAAAAAATATTAAGCTTTTTTTTGGTAAATTTTGATACCCTTTAGCTCATAATTGCTCTTTATTTCATAAAGTATGGTTTCATATTTTTAATTGTATAATTTCTGCATGCCATCTTACCAGATTTAAATTGATGATCTGTAATCCGGAATCGAAGTCCCGACGAGTCCGGGTTACGGACTTTGTTCTGTACCTCGTTATTGAAGGAACAACCATTTTAGGCATATTCGTCTCAAAATTATGTGATGCATTGGAAAGTCAACTGTATATAACATAAGAAAAAGAAAAAGGAACTTTGTGAATTTTTTGTGGATTCAGACACACCACTTGCCAGGAATAACAGAAAAATTGTTATGCTAAAAGTGACGATCATGAAAAAGTGATGATTGAATGGGTTAGACAGTGTCGCAGCGAGGGTGGGCCATTGACCGGCCCAATGCTAATGGCTCAAGCTAAAATATTTCATGAACAACTACTTAAAAACTGAGTGCGCATATTCGACAGGTTGGTTAACCAAATTTAAAATTCGCCATGGTATAAGGCAATTAAAAATTTTAGGCGAATGCTGAAGCTGCTGAACTATTAACAAATGAACTCAATGTATCTCCAGAGGATATTTACAATGCTAATGAAACCGGTCTTTTCTGGCAATATGTACCGCAAAATACCTTGGCAACTTGTACAGAAAAGGTTCCAACTGGTGTCAAAGATTCCGAAGCGAAACTAAAAATTTTAGCATGTGCAGATGCTGCAGGAATGCACAAGTGCAAACTTTTCGTAATCGGAAAATATACACAATCTTGAGCATTTGAAGGAGTATCGATATTTACCTTTATATATAGTGCAAATAAAAGAGTATGGATGATACAAGTGGTAACGAATGGATTGGTTTGAAAAAGAGCGAACTTTTCGTAATCGGAAAATATACACAATTCGAGCATTTGAACGAGTATCGATATTTACCGTTATATATAGTGCAAATAAAAGAGTATGGATGATACAAATGGTAACGAATGGATTGGTTTGAAATTCATTTTATACCCAAGGCTAGGCAAAATTTGACCTGACTGGTGAAGGATAATGTATCCATATTATTATTCTTTTCTCCAAATTGTGCATCATATCATTCAGCCTGCCAGAGTGAATGATTAAGTACTTGAGTGCATATGGTTCTAGTGAGCAGAAATAGCAAGAATTGCATAAACGCTTAGCTTGATGGAAGCTAGAGGGAGCCACATTAGCTCAAGAGAGTTAAGGTATAGCAAAAAATCATTAACTCAAAAGTTTTCATTTTTTGTAAATTTTTTTATGGTTTTTATAATTTTTTTTTTTTTTGTATGTTGCAATTTTTTTTGGTATTTTATATTTACATTTTATAACACATATTTACATAACATAAATTTTATATTTTTATAACAAAAAGGCAGAGAGGAAAGATTTTAGAGATTAAGAGGCTGACTGGCATATGGCACTAAATCAGAATGCAGTAAAGTTTGTGAAAACAAGGAAATATCCAAGGCAGATTGTGATTTTTAAATGAACAGATTGGTAACAATGCAAAAAAGGGCACTTTTTCATTGAAATTGGGTAGATGATAGCAATTTGGCATATTTAGTGAGGAACAGCAATTTTAGAAGATTGAGACGTCTATCCTTCACGGCACGGGGGCTGGAACTGAAGAAGCGGGGCATGTCTATGGCTTTTCAGCCTATGGTTATTGTAATAATGCATGTGTTGAAATGCAAATATAAAGTAGCATTTTCAAAATCCATGTTAAATATCTAACAGCAAGACTACTCAAGAATTTTTTAAATATTTTAACATAAAATCCGCTGCATAGAGCATCACAAGATCATAGGAGGATGTGTTTCCAGGTACTTAAAAATGCTTAGCATAACTTATGGCCATCTACACTATTCATGGCGAGGTTGATAAAGATGACAGCAGAGAATTTGAAGGATTTCAGACATCACAAAGCAAAGGTGAAATTTTCCTATTAATTGATTTTGTAAAGGAATGCAGAGAAGCAGTAATAAATGAAGATGACATAACAGAAGTTTTTCATTGCAATGGCCCAATCATCAATCAACAGATGGCAAAATCTTTTTGTATGGTTCTAAATCCAGAAAATACCACTACTAATAGTGAAGAAAGTGATAGAGAGGTATTGAAAATGAAAAAAAATTCGATTGACAAATTACTCGGAATTCTCGACACAGCTACAGGACTTGAATTTTGTACCTGAACAGGAAATTAAATCTGTCTACAGAATTAAAGAGAACATATTAGCACAAAAAGAAAAGCAACTTAAACAACCTACATTGATATACATGTTTAATAAAATAAACAAATATATATTAAGCTTTTTTGTAAATTTTGATACCCTTTAGATAATAAATGCTTTATTATTTCAAAAATCATAATTTCATATTTTTAATTTAAAAATTTCTTCATCTCATCTTACTAAATTTAAAGAGATGATCTAATATACAGAAAAATCGCAAATTGCCAAAGTTCTAACGGGTCTGGATCTCAGACTTCGTACTTTATTTTAAATTCCATTTTCTTATTTCCTTACACACATTTGTACTGAGAAAATACTGAGTACAGAAAGAAAGCTTTATCTTATCAATGTTAAATATGATGAAACTAAAATTTAAAATTAATATACATACTTTTGTGTGAATAAATTTAATAATGCACCATTTATTGATGTAAAGCAAATTTAAATACAATTATTAAATTACTAAAAATTTTTTAATCTTCATAAAATTTTACAGATTTAGACAATTCAAACTAAATAAATTTAATAAAATATTATGCTGAAAATTACTAGGCGTTCAATAAATTCAATAAATTTTATTTATTGCTGGAAAGGATTCTCCTTTACAAAGGGTAATCTTTTTAATATAAGAAACAAAAAAGGGAGATTGGGTATCTACCACGAGATGTAATGGAAAAGCAGAAGTCTCCCAGCGTGATGGGGAGAACTGGCAGCTACATTGGAACAATAAAAGTAGAATATGCAGCAAATAATAATATTGCTTCCCTGGGACACTGCTTCAGAATATCACTTCAAAGCAAGTTATGCTGATTAGAACTATAGTAAAGAGATCTGTTTTTTAAATAGCCAAAAATGTTTTACATTAGACCAATACTCAAGGGCCTAGGGAAGTTTTCCACGTGTATGAAAAGGTAAAAACAATTTGCACAAACTCAGTGGTAAAATCACTTAAAAAGCTTTAAAAGTTTGAAACATTTTCTGTGTTCTGATAAAACGGAACAATTTCTGCCACAAAAAGTGCTGTTCTTGGGTACCTCTATCAGAAAACCACGAAAATACTAAACTACATAATAAAACACAGAATAAATATAAGAGCTTTTTAAAGCAACACACTATGAGATAATGTGCTAAAGCAAAAGCATCAATGAATTTTAAATGAGCATTTATCAATGCACTTTAAATAAATGTAATTTTAAATACTTACATATGTAGACACAAACAAATCGGTTTTAAAAACCTCTAATGTCTTAAACTTCAAAAATGCAGTTTACTTCAGTTCAAATTATTGCAGTTATCATACCTACATTAAAAAATGTAACATAAATACAGTAAACTAGAGCACATATACTAATTCACAAGATGCGGAAAATACTATATGCATAACTGACGTTCTAACTTTGTTTAAATGCTTTATAAAGCCTAATGTGACATTTTTTCAAATACATTTATTTCCACAGAAAAAAACTACATAGGCTTACTTATTTTTTAACAAAAAGTGTAACATGCTTTCCCATACAATATCTGAAACAATATAACCCTTTTTACCTGTACGCAATTACATTTTCAAATATATTAACAAAATAAAAACAAATTGTTTCAATAAACTTTGTTATTGGGAACTCATAAAAAATGAAACAAGGAGCAAGATACATTAAATAAATTAATTTTGATAAAACTGTGCACTTTATTTCATCTAGAATGTTTTACATTGATTGCAGAAAACTCTTCCTGTCATGATGATGATGTGAGCATTCACACTGAAACATTAATAACCTACACGCCAAAGAACATGGCTAATTAACCCAGAAGACTGTAGTTCTTATTCAAATAATATGGGCTTTTTGTATGTAAATTTTAGCACCTAAAACTAGAGATGTCTTAAAGCAACGATATTTTGGTGAAGCAGAGGAGGGGGGAATCATTTTATTTATAACTTTTAAGTTATTTATAACTTTTAAGCCCCCCCCCCCCCCCCCCCCCCCCCCCCCCCCCCCCCCCCCCCCCCCCCCCCCCCCCCCCCCCCCCCCCCCCCCCCCCCAAGTCTGATTTTACATAATTCTGTTAAAATGGCCAAGTATTAAAAAAATTTGAAACCACAGCTATCTTAATTATATCATGGTGGAACAGCAAGAGTCATTTTGTTTAGTTTCAAGTCTAATTTCATGCTGAACTAAAGCACCTGAGTATTAAAAAAAATTTGTTCTAGCATCAAAAATACTTATATCTAGTAATATGGAGATATGATAGCCTATTAAAACTGCAACCTCATTATTTTAAGAACCCACTAAAAGCTTTTGAACAGACTGAGGAACTGTAACAAAATTCTGATAAATTTATTTCTGAAAACCTTGATAAATTTCAGCAGTTTTAATTTTTAAACTATAAAATTTTGATTAATTCAAGTTGTCAATGTACAGCAGATTCATGAAGATGTGATACTTTGTGTTAATGATGCTTGTTATCTGTAAATGTTAATAAGAATCATTTATTATAGAAACTGTGGGAAGGTTTCATTAGAATTTGAGCGGAAACATCAAATCAAATATTAAGATTCAGATAAAAAAAGTTTCGTCCGAAACAAACAAACAACAAACAATTACTTGGTAATTAATCTAAACTTTTGATTATTTAATTTTATATGGATAATAGTTTAAAACTTGACATTATCACAAAGTTCAAATTCATTAAATATTTAATTAAAAAAAAGGCTAGAATTAAAAAAAAAAAAAACCATGAGTATTTCTAAAGAACTTTTCATTAAAGTAGTCTTTAAAAACCATTTTCAGAAATCTTCAAATACATTCCACATGTGCCAAAAGAATTGTATGAAGTAAAATGTTTAACGTCTGGACATCAAAGATGATACAAATGGCAAGATTACTTTGTGGAACGTCTTGATGGTTCTGAAGCTGTTGGTGGTGGAGGTGGACCCTTTCTATCTAAAGTATCAATGTATGACATCAAAAGTTCACGTCGTTCATCTTCTATGCATTGTAAAACTAAATAGCGTTTATCATTCTGCAAGACTTTCTCTATATCAAGAAGATGATCACTCTCTTCAATCAGTTTTCGAGATTTGTAAGTAATAATTTTAGTTTCTTTGAGAAGTTCTCTAAAATCTGCTTTAGCAGCAACCATTTTATCTTTTAAATATTCCTTAAATTCCTTTTCACACTTTCTATCACTGGAGGAAAACTTTGAACATCTAGGATCATCTTTTATTAATTTTTTTATCTCCTTCCAAGATGATGTTAATGTAATATCTGGAGTTTCATCAAGAAGCTCTCGAAACTTTTCTTTCTTTTTCCGATAAAGAAAACTAATATGTTCATCAAAAACTCTTTCCCTTTCATCTCGTTCTAAACACCCAACTATTTCCCACCTATGATCTTTTCTTAAAGTTTTCTTCACATCATGCCAAGATACATCTGGAGTACGAACCAAGTCAGTCAACAATGCCTTAAAGTGTTGCACAGCTTCATCATGCTTATGCAATTCTCTTTCTTTGTCACGTTCTCTTAAATGAGTGGACAAGGTACGTTGAACTTCTTTTTCTCGCTCACGAATACTAGCTTCAACTCTTTCCTGTTTCTCACGTTCCCTAGATGCATCATCTTCATCCCGAGACAATTTACTTGAATAATCTTTGAACCATTCCTCCCGTAAAGAGCTGCTATCAACCCCTTTATAACGAATATCATCAGAAATAGTTTTCTTCACATCACTCCACCTACTGTGCTTATCCAATCCTTTCTGTTCTTTTAAAAGCTCAATAAAATCTTTCTTAACTTTTTCTCTTTGACAGGACCTCTCATCTCTCTCTTTCCGACGAAGGTCTTGCTGGTAATCATTAAATATACACTCTCGCTCCCTCATTTTTTCAATCATTTTGAAACGCTCATCTTTACCATATCGTTGAGCAAAATCACTAAACGTTGATTTAGTAGTTAATGAAGCTTCTTCCAGGAGTTTACGAAAGTCTTCCTTACGCTCACGCATCCTTTTTCTTTTTTCATTTCTTTCTTCTTCAGCTCTTTCTTTAACATAGCGTTCAAACACCTGTTTCCGTTCCCTTGAAGTTAACAGTAGATAACGAGGATCAAATACTATTTTGTGCAATTCCTTTTCCCATGTGGAAAAAGCTGACACGTCTTTCTCCACTAACATATCTCGAAACTGTTTCATTCGTATGTCTAAAGGAATATGGGCACGCTCTTTTGCAGCTCGTAACTCAGCTTCAATGGCTGATTCTTTACCTGGTGTAATACTGTTTTTTACTACCACCTGTTCAGTTTCCGGTTTTACTTTGGGTTTTTCTTCTTCTTCGGTTTCTTCAAGTTTTATTTTTTTGGCATCTGGTGTAGACTCACTTTCAAATTTCTCAGTTTCCTTAGCAGATTCTACTTGACCTGATGGTGGAACCTGAATTAATTTTTCAACATCTGTTCGGCCTTTCAGTTCATCGGGTTTCTCCCAGACTGATGATCTTGAACTAGGGTTAAAGAAAAATACTCTATTATCACCAGTCCACACAACACACCAAGGAGTCCCAGGAATTGGAGTGCTTGAAACAGGACGCGTTTTGTCAACTGGTTTTGGAGGTGTTTCTGGTACTGGTTCACTATCAGATTGTTCTTTTTCTTCCCGTTGAATAGAAGAATCATCAGTCACTTGCTTTTCCCCATCTACATCAGTTCCATTTTCAACAATTTCTACCTTAACGACAGTCTGTGCTTCTTTTTCAGATTCTTCAACATCATTTTTTACTTCAGAAGGTTCATCAACTTCCATAGCAGTAGCTCCAGAATCTGCAACAACTTCATTTGAAACGTCTGAATTTGAAGATTCAGTAGTTACTGGCTTTACATCTTCAAGATTTTCAGCATCAATCAGAACTTGAGGCTTTTCCCATGTAGATTGTGATGTTAGTTTGTTGTAATAGTATATTCTCCCATCACTAGCTTTATACTCAGCCCAATCTTCTGTTTTGCTTTTTATATCATTAGATGGTGCAGTATCATCTATATTATTTCTACTTTCAGAAATGCTAGAAGGAACAATAGTAGAAGTATCTGCTGTAGACACACTTGGTGCTTGAGTAGGAATTCCCATAGCAACTGCAGGAAAACCTGGTGGTGGAATACCAAAAGGTGGATACCCTGGAGCAGTAATCAAACCTGGTGGAGGCATTGCAAAAGGTGGTGGAGGCATTCCAAATGCTGGCGGTGGAAGCATACCCATACCAGATGCTGGAATTGGGCCCATTCCAGGCATAGGACCAACTGGAACAAAGGAGTACTGATTAGGAGTAGGTCCCGCAGTGCTCATTTGAGAGTTAGATTTCTGAGCTTCATTTTTTTGACTTGAAACAGAATCAGAACTTGTAGCTGCTGCTGCAGCCATGGCTTCAATTTGTTCTTGGTTTAAAATTTTTACATTTTCAGGTTTTGTCCAAGCAGACTCACGAGTTCTAGCATTATAGTAATACAGCTTTCCTTCAGCCGTTTTAGTCTCAACCCAAAGTTCTCCGCTGAGGTCTATATTAGATATATTAGGATTATTTGAAGCAGCAGCTTGTGTTGTATGATTATCTGTTTGAGGACTTCGACTCTGGGGAACTCCAGATCCAGGAAAACCCGGAGGAGGTACAGCAAAAGGTGGAATCATTGGTGGTCTCGGAAATGGAGCTTTTCCTGGCTGAGGCTGACGAGGAGAATTGAACTGACCTCCTCCTATATGCTGAGGTGATCCACTACTAAAATGTGGACCAGGAGGTCCCCTATTTACATTTTGAGAACCAGACATGGCTATAGGTGGCATTCCATGCGGTTGAGTATATTCATTATCAAACATTGGTTCACGAGGACCTCTAAAATTAGGAGGAGGTGGCCCACTCTCAGGCATCAACCTTCTTCTTATTCCCAAAGTAGGTCTAATATGAGGTGGTGCTGGTGGGCCACGGCTTGGTCCATGCAAAGGCTTTTCAAAACGCATAGCACGTTGGTGATCTGGAAAATAATCAAATTCTTCGTTGAACATGCTCCTTTCAATGTTTCTTTGAAACCAACGGTCTCGGTCTTGTTCTGAATATAATTTTTTTTTCTATGATACCTAGATGTAAATATCCATTATTGCCTGCTCTGTTAGCAGTTGAAGAATAACCATTTGAATGTTCCTTCTTCAGAACTGATATACCAGAATTAAGTATCAGAGTCTTCCCATTATACATATGATGTCCCACAATAAGAATTGGTCTTTCCTAAGGAAAGAAAGGAATATGTAGTATGAATTACTTTCCAGTCATAAAAAGATCAAACAAAACAAAAATAAGAAAATAAACTATGCAAACTGATTTTCACAAAAGAGTTCCATTTTAATATTAATAAAAAGTCTCTAGCTTTCTAATTACTCTACATATGTGCGTCAGTAAAGAGATGCATTACATCCTCCTTGTACAAATCACACCTTTTAAATAAACCTCACAATTTTCACCACCACAATGACATTTAAAAGTACTTTATAAATAGAAAAGGAAAATTAATAATTTACAATTCATTTACCATTAAACTACAAAAAGTTTACTACATTCTTGTTAACTAGCTGACAGCATAAAAACTTTAATCTGTCATAGACGGCATGAATACCATCCAAAATAAAAAAAAAAAAAAATTTTACCATCCCTTTCACCTAATAAAAAACTAAAATATTTTAGTCCTAGACTCTTAAGGAAAAAAAAAAAAACTTAAAAGTAAACTTTTTAGACAAAAGTTAAATACAACCCACCCTCAGTTGAATAATTTATCTTACTTAATCTTTTCCATCAAAATTAGCGGGTAAGATTTTGGCTCTTTCTCATGCCAATGATATTTCCAAACTGGAGTGTTCAAAAGAAACACATTAAAAAGATTAAAAACAATCCTTTCTTGATCATTTTTTTATATTAAATTTTATTGATTTCAAGCTAAAAACAGTTCCAAAAATTAAATATGAATACATATATTGCTTATATACTTATTTTTAAACAATGTTTTTTGGGGGAAAAGACACTTTTTTTTTACCAATTTATTGAAAATTATGCAATCTTTAAGGAGTTACAATTAAACCTTGAAAGAAATAGTTTTCCCTCACCAAGAGATTTATACAAGGAGGGACTCAAAAATAACTAGACTCATACTCGTGCACAGTGCATTTGTAGTACATAATTGTGTCGCCAGGGTGCTAAGGCGGTTAGGCCATCATTCAAAAGGACGACCTGACGACATCGCCAAAATCGATATTCTCATTCGAGAAGATTGATGGACCAAATCGAAGACTTATTTTGTTCAGGAGCTCCATTCAACATATTTTGCATGACGATTTGGGAATGCAATGAATGGCTCCTAATTTTGGGCCCAGTCTTCTCTCCAAACAGCAAAGGGATCGTTGCATAGAAGCCAGTCATAAAATGAAAGACACAATCACAGGTGATCCAATTTTTCATTAAAACCAACAAATGATAATTTGATAGACTATCGCAAAAATAAATACAGTCAAATACCAAAAATCTGCCGATTTGAAATCCTCGTTGCCTCTCAAAATATAAACATTCAATTTATAGGTTCCAGAAACCGCAACATTAAGTGCGAAATATTGAAGAAAAAATACATATAATAAGTCATAATGAAAATAACAAATTATTGACATCATGATAAAAAGTCCCCCCTCCCTCTAATCTGCATTGATGTAAAAAAGCAGACCATTCATTCAACTCTTCTTTCAAGTTCACGATTCATGTTGCTGTATTTTCTGAGCTTTGTTATTTCACGGGATTATTTGGTGCTGCCTTCTTTTTTTATCCGGATATTTGGTGGATAAATTAAGAATATTTTAAATTTCAGCCCTTTTTAATACAATTACAGATAAGAAATGCACTCATGACTTCACTGCTTGCAACGTTGAAAAACGTAAACATGTTGCATTGATGGTAATGCAAAAAGTGCAAAGGATGGAAGCAGGTGCTACTCCTTGGTTTATAGCAGAATCGTATGGAATTGCGACACGATTGTGTATGCATACTTGCCAACCTATGACACTCAAAAATCAGGAGATTTTTCACAATGTTAAAAAGACTTTTTAAATGATAAAAATATAGTTTTTAATAATGAATTAACTTTAAATAGTAACTAATTCTTAAATGCAAGCAACACAAAAATACCTTACACATAAAAAACATTTTTATTACTTACATCGTTTGGGGGGGAAAGATACTTTAATCAGTTTTTGTACAAATGTTATAAAGAGTGGCAGATTTTGCTTTATTTAAGAAAGAAACTTCCTAATTTAGTTCACAGCAATTGCCACATAGGCCTGCTTTCGCTAATAAAAGTTTTCCTAATGTGTCATCACTAATATTAGTTCAAAATTTAGTCCTCGTTTACGCAACAACACTGAAAATCCTCTCACACTCTGCATTACTATGGGGAACTGTCAAGATGGCCAACACAATTCTAGACAGTTCACTATATTTTAAAATTCCATCAGCACCTTTCAGTTTTCTAATTAAACTCCACTGGGTGTCAAACCTAGCTGATTTTATAACTTCATTCAAATTTTCTAATTGTAAACTGCTGTTATGCAGCTGTTGGAACTGTTTCAATTTTTCCTTCCTTTTAGAACACCTTTCAAGATAATAAATACCAACAATGTGTTGATCCACATTTATTGGTAAAGAAGCTGCCCGTTTTTCAGTTGCTAAATTTAAGAGGTGACAGGTGCAACTCATAATCTGCACATCTGAATTTTCCGTTCTGAAGATGCCTGCAACACCAGTGTTGAAGCCTACCAATACTGGTATATTATCGGCACCAAGTGCTAAGCAATTATCCAGAGGGCCTGCATTTTCTTCTAAAGTTTAATAATTAGCTGTGGTATATTAAAGCCTGTCAAATGTCCTTCTAAAGTGAGGACAGAAAGTAAACTGCACTCAATTTCTGAAGACACTGGATTAAAACAAGAAACAACTGGATACAGTTTTGAATCGGTATTATTGCTTCCATCCGTAGAGAGGCAGAACAGAGCTGTTTGAGTGCAATCAATAACTCTAGATTTATTTTTCAAACCCATTTCTTTAACAACTGCACCTGTTTTGGTTCTTGCACTTGAGTATTTCTTAGCAATTTCACTATTGAGAAACATTTTTCTAAATACAGCTGCAGCGTGATCCGATGCATTCTGTGGCAGGTTTTGCTCCAGTAAAAAGGCAAAGAACAGACATTCTGCATTAATAACTTTTTGGTCCTTTGCTTTGGAAGAAAAATCTAATTTTTCGTTAACTCATGTTATCCTTGTGTTTTTGTGTTCGCACATGTTTGAGAACATCCACCCTTCCACATTGCGAAACCCAAAAATCGCAACGACAGGCGGTACACATCGCAAATTTATTACATTTCCTTGAAGAAATAATGGAAGAAAAGTCAACTGTGTACAATTTTTGAAACATACACAAGTATTTTACCTTTCTTGAAGACATAACAAAAGATGATAATTTCTAAAACTATTTCCCGAAGGCACGTGAACTCACACAACTCAGGACAAAATGAACGAAATAACAGTAATACAATGAATATAATCAATTTTATATATGTAATAATAATTTAATGCATATAATAAGTTATTGCAATAATGTATATAATAATTTAATGCATATAATAAGTTATTGCAATAATGTATATAATAATTTAATTAAATGTATCTAATATGCCGATTTATTTTGCAATTTTAGTCTGAATATTATGATTTATCTTTTCTGTCCTAAAATCCGCACAACCTCTGGTCCCAAGCTCTGCGGATTTCTGGACTTTTACTGTAACAGTCAAGTCAATGGGAGTCACCTAGCTTGCCTCGTTAAAAAAAAAAGCCGTGAGGTTAAAATCATATTTCAAGGTGCCGATTTTTTTTTGGACATAAAAGGTATCCCTACTCTCAAAAGTCATCCCTTAAAACCATACCATCAACCCACCAACCAATATTTCTATATAAACAGCAGCACAGAAGTTTGGCGTGAAAACTTGTGGAATTCGGACAGGAGGTTCTTCCATCGCGACAACTCTGCCATGCATATGGATCTCTGTGTTTGCCGGTTTCTGGCCTAAACACAGACAATTCCTTGACCTATCTACAAACCTTGACCTATGTACCCTATTTGCCATTTGCCACCCACAAACTTCTTCCTGTTCCATCACACAAAATGGAACTTGAAAGGAAGGTATTTTGCTAATGTTGGCACAGTCGAACAGAATGTCACAACACCGTCAATTGGCATCAAAGAAAACAAATTTGCAAAGTGTTTCAAGCAATGGAATGAATGAATGGACAAATATGCTGCGGGTCAAAATGGGGAGGGACAGTTCTGTATCTTTCGTTCTACTGGGCCGACTGACGAAATTCAAATTTCATGTCTCGAAAGCGTAACTTAGGATATGTATTAGATCTATATACAGCATTGTTCTAATATAGATATTTTGACACAAAATAGGACTTTTTCTGCAATAACATGCCAATGTTTTTCCATATTTCGATTCTACAACTTAAATTATGCCAAACTGCCAAGTTTTATAAAAATTAGCTCTCAAAATTTTAGCTTTTCAATGTTAACTGAATCTTATACATATTTATTAATATCTTTTTTAAAATTGAACTTACCTAATTCATTCTTCCAGAATTCCAAATTTAGGCTTAATCCAAATATCATTTGCACATTTTTAATTATTTATTGATAAAATTTAACTTTTCTTACTATTTTTTATAAATTTTTTTAGAACAATTTTAACATTTTAAAGCAGATGTATTTATAGGCACACTTGTAAAAAATTAAGAGCTATTCAAAATTTTCTACGATATACATGAATTCACATATTGGAGTGTTTTGAAATTTGGAGTCTTTTTTTTTTTTTTTTTTTTTTAGTGATAATATAATAATATCAAACGATAAGACACACTTTGTTAAAATAACTTGAAAATATGAATCCCCCATTCGCAATGAAAAAAAGAAAAGAAAAATAGGTTGCTATAAATTAAGTTCCCCAAGTAAATTATTCTTGGCAAAAACTGAAAATTAGTTATAGTTACAGAAACTCAAAAAGTCGGATGGCAATGGCAACTTTTTCCGGCTGCAATATATTCAGCAAATGAGAAAACCCTAAATAGCATTGGAAAGGTACGAATACGTCAAAAACCAGATGTATTATGCAAACACACAAAAAAAAAATTCTGAAAACTGGC